ACTGGTTCCTTCCTTCAAGCTTTGACACGCTCCCCACGTTCCCCATCTGAGCGATCGATCGAGTCCTCCTCATAACATAAACTCATGGCTCCTAAACTTCCCCTCTGAGCTCTGCAGTCGTCCGTCTGGTCCGGAGGAGCTGACCAGGGCAGGAGGCCCCAGGCCGACACTGCTCGCTCTGCTCAGCTGGTGGTTGGGTTTTCAGAAGACTTCAAGGCGACACAAGCGAATCCACAGCAAGGTGCACAACCAGGGAATGGATGAGGGAGCGGATGGCTGAGTTAGCATGGGCGATTCTGCTCTGACCAGCGCCTGGTCCCCTGTCCTGTTGTCCCGTGAGGCCCCTCTAGGGAGGCATGGACTGCTGGGCTCCAACTTCATCTCTCCTGCTGCTGTCACCAAGGCCACCTCCTTGCAAATCCTGGTGGTCATCCGCAGTCCTCATGCGGCAGCAGCTGACAGACTCCGCCGTCCCCCAGCCTCATGGGCACTGTTCTCTCCTGGGCTCCTTGCCTCTCTGGCCACTCCTCCTTTCCTGGCTCCATCTCACCTTCTAGTCCTTGTACCTCCTCCTTCTCAATCTCAGAGCTTTAAATACCCCCACAGGGCGATCTACTCCCCTGAAGAGTCCCAGTCTCGGACACTCACAGGGGCATTCTACTGTGTCCTGTAGGGTCACTGGGAGTTGGCAGAGACGCGATGGCAGCGCGGGTTTGGTTCGGTTCCCCGATGACCCTTAGGTTCCAGTCCCTGCCCCGGACCGCTCCCCGAGCTTCTGCTTTCAACATGACTTGACTTCTCTTGCATGTTGCAAAGCTGACTCCACGGTGCCATTTGTCCCGATTGCTAATCCGGCTTAGGGCTTTTGTCCTGCTCGGCTGGTCCTCGGCCCCAAAGGCTTTTCCTCAAGGATCCACACGGCTCAGTTCCTCAGAATCTTTACCCTGACCCACCGACCTCAACCTACGCCAGTTCTTCCTGTTTTCTTTCTCCCCTTGGCTTTATCGATATTTCACATTGAACTTATGTCACACTTATTGTTTCTCTCAACTAGAATATGCAGGGGGTCTAGGTCTTCTTTTCAGATGGCTGTCTTTCTAGTTCTTACAAGTGCATGACTCTCGGTGGGCACCCAATCTTTCTATTGGTCGGATGAGTGAATGAATGAATGGGTAGAAAACTGGGGCAATGTCAAGTGAAAGGTCAAAGATGAGGTTACAGTGAGGATGCCTGGCAGACACTGGGTATAAGTCCAGAGCTTGGGAACCGAGCTGGGGGACCAGCTTGGAAGTTGGAATGTGCTGAGCTTGGGGCATTCTTAGTTTGAGTGACGTGAGGAATGGCCTCTGCTGGTCTTAGGGGGCTTCTGGAGATGCAGGCCAGGCAGCCTGGGCTAGAGGAGAGAAAGAATTGGAAACAAAAGATCGGGGGAGCATTTGTGTCTAAAACTCACTGCCACTGAGTCCACGCTGACCTGGTGATGCTGCGGGACAGGGTAGAACTGTCCCTGTGGGTTCTGAGATGGCAAGTCTTCACAGGAGCAGAAAGACTCCGGTCAGGAGGAACACAAGTCGGGGCAGTTTGAGAGGGGGCCGACAAGCAGGGGAGGGCAAGCCTCCTGGACAGAGATTCAAGCAAGATGGGATTGAGAAAGTGGGACGCTGGACAAGAGGGCCAAGGGTGAAGACCGGGGACGTCAGAGGATTTGACTACCTGAGACTTGCTCCCGATGGCCCACATAGCCCAGGCCCTCTGGGGCATGGAGAGGAGCATGATGGGAAGGGCTGAAGATCTGAGAGCAGCCAGCAGGGGGATGTGGCCAGGGCTGCCTGGAGGCAGCGCAGTGAGGGCATACCACGGTGGGGAAGGGGGAGACCCCCTACCTCCACCCCTTTAAGGGGGACATGGCACTAGTCCAGACAAGGCAGTTCTAGAAGCTAAAGAGCCCACTCCAGGGCTAGTGGCTTCATGCCTGGCTTGTGCAGAGATGCCACTGGCCCAAGGTCACTGTGACCCTTGAGCTTCCTGGCCCCCTGGCCAAGCGCAACCATTGCTCTTCCCATGTCACCAGCCGAGAGTATTGCCCAATGGTGTGTCTCTCCGGCCTCGGCAGCTAATATTTGCCTCCCATTGATCTGGCATTCGGCCTGTTATTTTTTAACGCGTCCTGGGCTCAAAGGCCGATTAAACATTACATTGGGGAGGGCATGTCCCCTGACCATCTCACCTGGTGAGCAAGCAAGGATCTTCTGAGCAAACACGGTCTGCAGAGTAAGCAAGGGGGATGGGGGTCAGGAGGGAGGTGGAGGTCAGGCTGGGGGTCGTGCAGAGGGGAGGGAGCGAGGAGACCCTGTTGTCAGAGAAGGTCTTAGACTTGATGAATGAGTGAACCCCCAGAATCCAGAAGACAAATCCCAAACCCAAACTCGCTGCTGTGAACGACACTGCCTGCGTTATAAGGGAATAGCTGGACTCCTTCGTCAGATGGACAGCGTCCTGGCCCATTCAATGTCCCTGGTCCCTTGCGGCCCTTCAGGTCCGTTGGACAAAGGGCTGTTGGGGTTGTTCCTTGGGTTAATGGCGGGGTGAAGGTTGGCGGGAAGGAAGGAGGCCTGCCCTGCACGAGCCAGAGGGGCAATGAGGCCCGAGGGGTGCTGGCCTGGCTCCCGCCTTCAAAATTCTTCCCCACTGAAGTTCCCTGAGACCAGCGTGCCGTAAGATAGGCCTTTCTTCTGCTCAGCTGCAGCCAAGCATCCGCGGTGGCACTGGTGAAACAAAACTCACTTCTATGAAGGTCATGCCTTGCTTTTAGCTTATCAACATTTAGACCAGCAGTTCTCAACCTGTGGGTCGCAACCTTGGGGGTGGAACGACCCTTTCACAGGTGTTGCCTGATTCATCACAGTAACAAAATGACAGTTAAGAAGTAGCAACAAAAATAATGTTATGGTTGGGGTGTTACCACAACATGAACTGTATGAAAGGTCCAAGGCATCAGAAAGGTTGAGAACCACTGATGTAGACCTTATCTCCTCTGGAGAGAAGGAAGGCTTGGCGCTGGGGCTGGTGAGGGGCAGTCCAGGGCAGTGTGGACATGGGGCTTTGAGTCTGGTGCCGTGGCTTTAAGCCTCTTCACAGCCGAGTCCGATTGCTAATCCATCAATTGGGCTAATATGCTACCCCAGACCAACGTACAGATTGATGCTGGGTAGTATGAGTATTAGTTCCAAGGAGTGCATCAAAGACTGTGGAAGAAATTCCACCCACTGGGGTCCTGGCACTGCACAGCGACTCTTCACGGAAATCCTAGCTCGCTGTTCCAAACTCCTTCCTTGTGCCCCTGGAGATGGCGACCTAGTTCCCAGTCTCCTTTTGGGCTAGGCATGGCCATGAGGACGCGGTGGCCCTGTTGACCACCCTCTTCCGCCCTCTGCAGGTGCATTATAGAAGGGATGGTGGAGGCAGCCTGAAGCCTTGGATGACTGCATGGAGCAGAGCATCCAGACACCACACAGGGCTGGGAGGAGCAGGTGCTGTTATTAAGCCACTGATGGGGGTGGGGTAGGGTGACAGCCTGGGCCTGCCAGACAACGGCAGTCTTGCTTTTGTCCCTCCTCAGGGTGTACTCACAAAGAAGAGGGTGAGGCAGGAGCCGGAAAGGTCCAGGTACTCCCCTGCAGGCTCTAGGCCCTGGTAAAGGGCCCAGCCACTGTCCATGAATGGCAGGCTCAGCCAGGGGGTCCGCCTGCCGTGGGGGGATTTCATGGCAGGGACACTGTAGGGAAACCTGCGGGACTGCTTTGTCCCAAGTCTCCCAAGATCCCCACTCTGGACAGCGTTCAGCGTCACCACTTTTTGATGGCTTTCTCATCAGAATCCTTCCTCCTCTGAGCGTGTTCCTTCTCCGACAGGCTCCTGCTTGTGCAGGATTTACTGTACCCAGGTTTTGAACTGATGTCTTCTGTCTTTCTCATTCAAGAAGTGGCTGTCCCCATCCCCTGACAGCACGGCACCCTGGCTGCAGAACAGGGTCATTGTCAGACGGGAAAGGGATTAGCAACAGGTGTCAGCGAAACCCGCCGCAGCCGTTTCCTGGACAAGTGGGAACATGTCAGAGAAGGGCACCCCCCCACCCCCCCCAACAGTAAGAGCCAGGTGGTCTAAGGCGGCACGCTGTCCAAGGTGGAAGACTTAGAGGCGCAGCACAGGTGTGCTGTCCCATCATGCACCAGTCCACACAGCTGTCACTGTATAGGGGCTTCTCCAAACTCAAAAACTCACTGCCTTCGAGTTAATGCTGACTCATAGGACCCCCCCAATGCTGACTCATAGGACCCTCCTCCCCTCCCCCTCGGGCTTCCAAGACTGTTGACAAGAGTAGAAAGCCCACATGTTCTCTGCTGGAGCTCCCGGCGGTTTCAAACTGCCGACCATGCGGATCACAGCCCAACACTCAGCCACTACAGTGGGGGATTCTAGACCCCGTGAAACTAATCTGTGGTGGGAAAAACTGTACTAGTGGCTGCTCTGGGCATGTGGGGACCAGCTTGGGCAGCATGAAAAGAACGTTCTGGGTGGGTGATGGGAATTTGGGTTACTCTGGTGTATGCAGATGGGTGAGCACCTGGCTGCTCACCAAAGGGTCAGCACTTAGAACCCACCCGATGTCCCGTGGGAGGACAATGTGGTCACGAGGAAGATTTTCCACTCGCCGGGGTTTGTATACACATTTTTCCAAACTCGCTGATTCTAGTTAAGACATGTGCATCTCACTCAGCGAGGATTTTCGCCCCACGAGGGAGGGGGACACCATCTGGAATCTAGTTGGCAGTGCAAATACGTGTCTGAAGAGCCCTGTACAGAACCTGTGGGTCACTCTGCCATGCCGGACAGGTGAGGGGAGGGGCAGGCAGAAAGACAGATCATGAAGCAGCTACAGGAAATGGCCAAGGGTCCAATCAGGGTCTGTGGTTCTTCATAGGACAGCTCTGCCAGCATTTCTGGATGTTTGCGGGTCTTCTTAAGGCAACCTTGGGCAAGAAAATAATTGATGTGCTTCGGGACTCAAAGTGGACTGCTAACTATAAGGTCAGTGGTTCGAAATCCCCAGTCACTCCACGGGAGAAAGATGGGACTTTGGACCCCGTAGTTGCGTCTTGGAAACTCACAGGGGCAGTTAGTTCTGCCTCTGTCCCACAGGGTCTCTGAGCCGGCACCGACTCGATGGCAGTGTCTTTGGGACTCAAGTTGCTAAGTCTTTAGTCCTGAGGGAGAAAATGACCTTGACCATTGGCCTTTGCAGGGGCGCTAGGGACTTGTCCATTCTACAGGAGCCCCCTGGAAGTCCTGTTGATTTATTCAGCTATGTCCTTCCTTGACTGTGCTCCATCATACCCCATTTTTGGTGGGGGGGCTGGAATTGCTCCCATGTTCTCTTGGGCATTCAGAGCCTGATTTCAACAGCCCTGGGCACAGAGTGGCACTTGGCTCACAGTTTCTGTGGCAGCAGTCACTGGCTTGCCACCTGTGAGGATGGAGGCAGATCTGGCCCCGAGGGCTCTGTCTCCCAGAGAGGTGGCAGCTGGGAGACAAGGTTGGATATCTCTGGTCTGCCTCCTGCCCTTGGCTCAGGCCTGTAGTCTATTCAAGAACCTGCCTGCCAACTGCGAACCAGCTGGCTGGTGACCCAGCCTCCTGGTCCTACCCTGTACTTCCTCACAAGGCAGTGGGGCTCCCAGGGGGCAAGACCCATGCTTTTTTGCTCATCTGTACTGCCCCCCTCCCACTACCCCCAGAGGAAAGGCTTCCCTGCAGACAAGTTAGTGCGTACGGAGCTCCAGTAAGCATACGGCCAGCAGCAGAGGGCTCACGGCCGTCGCGTCCATTCCAATTGAGGGGCCTCACAGACAAAGCAGAGCTGGCCCGTGAGTCTCGGGAGCTGTCAGTCGTCATGGGAGCTGCCAGCCTCATCCTCGTCCCACGGAACAGCTGGTGGGTTTGAACGGCTGACCTGGGGTAGCAGCCACACCCCCCCACTGCAGGGCTCCTCACACATAGAGGTAGTGAGCCTTACTGGGTGACACACTCATGGGGTGGGGTACATCTGTCTCTGTAGTTCAAGGAAAGTGGCACAGTTGAGCATTTTTTTCTAGGTCATTCCCCTTTTATGGGAATTTCAAATTCAGTTCCCAGAATGAGGAAGCGGATGGTTCCTAGTTTGGCCTGGGACGGTCACAGTTCTTGGGAGAGGATTCACCGGACTAGAGAATGACCGTTTGAGCCTGGCGCAGGACGGGGCTGCCCTGGCACAGGGACACTAGTTCGATACCACCAGTTGCTCCTCAGGAGAAAGATGAGCCTTCCCCACGGGGCCAGGTCGCTTGGGTTTGAACTGACTCCATGGCAGGCAGTTTGCTGGTTCACATCTGGGAACCGGTTGCCTTCCAGGGGCTGCTGACTCATGGCACAGGGTGGAAAGAGCTGCCTGCACGTTGTAGAGATTTCAACGGTGGGATTGTCAGCCCAAGACCACCGGGCCTTTCTTTTGAGGCCCCTCCGGGGAGACACCACCTCCCAGCCTTTGGGATTAGCAGCGTGTGTTCAGGGCTACCTCCCAGGGGCTGTTCCATTCGGTCTCCCGTTACCTGTCACACACGCAAGGGAGGGCAGGTTGGACCGATGCCAGAGTAAGACACACCTGCCTAGGAACGGGCAGTTACGGGGGACCCAAGTCTCCCACAAACGCACTAATTCTCGACTGTAATGAAAACGGCAGATGGAGCAGAACAAATGGATATTCTCCTGAGGGGGCTTAAAAGTTAGTGGAAAGCTGGAATAAAATTAGAAGAGCATTTTCCCGTGAAGTTTCTACAGTTCCCTCATTAGGACGTGTTGGGCAGATTTAGATGATGTGTTTAGAGGAGGGAGGAGCTGCTGGGGGTGGGGGGTGGGGGATGATGGATTCGGCACACGGGTACCTGCAGGCCTCCCCAGTGTCAAGACTGCTAGGACGGGTGGCGGCGGCGAGCGGGCTTCCAATCAGATGCCCCAGAACACTGGCTGTAGAAAATGCTCCAGCTCCAATTCTTTATTGAATATCTGACAAGTTGTATCATTTTATTACAGCGACTTCATTTTATCACAGGACTCTTTTGCCACCAGGAAAACAAACTGTTTCTCTCCGGATCTCGCAAAAAAAAATTTTTTTTTAAAGTGGGGAGTTTGTCCTTAAAATGCTTCCCCAGCCCCTGGTGTTATTAGATGTCACCACATTTTAAAGTTCTTGGATTGTTGAAAATGAGCATGTCTGGTCTGATTTTATTTTTTAACCAGAGTATCAAATGGTACTTGGCTTCCTGGTGGGAGGTGGTTTTTAATAAAACGTAAGGAAGTACCAAGAATTCATTTGGAATGCTTGAAACACTCTTCACCTTGAAAGCCGCTGTTTTCCAGCCCCTCCTGAGGTTTTGTGCCAAGGTAGACCCTGAACGAAGCCTGTTCCCAGAGCTCCCCACCCCCAGGCTCTGAGGTTCAGCTTGCAGAACGTTCTAGAAGGGATTGGATGCTCACTCCCCCTTCAAACCGGATTACTCAAGCATGAAAGATGCTATGTAAATATATACATATCTATTTGGACAGTGTGTGTACGTACATACGGGTATATGTTTTTACATCCATAGTAGTGACCGGAGATCAAAGTGAACACGCAGCAAACCGTGAAGGTTCCTGTACAGGAGTTGGGGAGCAAGAGGAGCAAAGTGGGCCCCACAGGTGGCAGGGACAACGTCTGGTCCTCAGCACACCCCGCACAAAGCTGAGAACCGAGGCCCCAGAGCTGGCACTACCGGCATAGGCAGGGGCCTCCTCACACGTGGTAATCAGCGACCACAAAAACCTGCCCTTTCCCACCAGGTGGGCTTTGAGGGGTGTCTGCGGAGAGGGTTCCTGTGAGACTCCAGACAGAGCTACCCCTCTCCTCTGAGACTTGACCCTGGCCACAGTATTTCCTCACAACACTGGACAATATCTAGGACAGGGGCGAGTGTGTAGCCATATATTAAGGCTTAAAAACAAAAATAAAAAACACAAAATGTGGTCCATTCTCTCCCCCATTCCTGTTTTAAAATCTGGAGTACAAAGTGGGGGTTTTGTCAAGAATTTTTTTAATGCATGGAATTGGCAGTTTTGGTAAGATTTCTCAGGAGGGACCCTAAGAGCCTGAAGGTCAGAGGTAGTACCTGGGCGTGGGGACAAGCCACCTGCTAGTTACCCTACTCAGCAGCACTTCCTACTGGCAAGTGAGAGGACCACCCTCCAGACAGCACAGCCCGTCTCTCGCTGGAGGAATGGGGCCAGTCAGGGCCAGGAGGAGGGTGGGGAGCCAGCCCAGTGGGGAGCGTACGGGTTTGGCTCTCTGGGTGGCTGTTTGATTTGCTTTGAGATGGGATGCAGAGAGGGATCTGGATGTCCCCCCACCCTCAAATCTGTCACTGAATACTTAGAGTGGTTGGAAATATCCATATCAGGGGGCTCTGTGGACTGACTCCTGACCTTAGGGACTCTCCGAGGCACTGACAAAGGACCTTGCAGAACAAAACCCCCAACATAATGTTCTAGCTACTCCTTAGAAGATCTGCTACAGAAAAATCGACCACGGCCACATTTCAGGAGAAAAAAGGGTCAGAATTGGCATATCATTTGCAAATAGCCAAAATCCCCTTGTGCCCTGTTGTAGGGGCAGCCGGCTGGCAGCGTGAACATTGGCCCAGTGAATGCAGACAGAGGTGGGGAGAGGAAGTTTTAGGACGTCTGCGCAGACGCAATCGCTGATGGTCACGTGGCCCCATCAGGCTAGCTTTGGAAATGTCCTCCTTCACCCCCAACTCAGAGTCCAGTCCTTCCACACACGGCTGCTCCTCAAGCAGCGAACTCAGGAAACCGGGCGACTGTCCCTGCTGTGGCTTGAAGGACCCGAGGGCAGGCAGGCAGGAAGGGCAGCCTAGAGCAGGCCACACCGCCCACCAGACCCTGGGAGGCAGTCGGCTGCCCAGGGGGTGGCCAGTGTCCTCTTTAGTCCCCACCTCTTCTCGACCGCTCCCTGCAATTACATCATGGAGTCGGTGAGAACCAGTCAAGACTTATTGGAAACAAGGTCGACGTTTATTTCAGACCAAGCGGGAAATGCAAAGAAGTCCTGGCTACGAGAGACTGAACATCACCCAGGCTTTTAAAGGCACCACGCTCAGCAGTCTAAGCAAGCTGCCACACGGGGTGTCACAGAGGGGCAGGGGCACTGGACTGTGCTCTCATGGGACTCGGTTCTGGTCAGTCTCACCGGTTTCTGCTTTGGACGCTCTCCCTCATGCTTCGGACAGCTGCTGGGTCTTAGTTTCTGAGTGTTCCCTCCATGGAATCGCAGCGGGCGCTCAGCCCCTGGAGGATGTACAATGGCTGGACTGGACGGTGCACCGTGGTGTCACGCTCTCTCCAAGGCCATCACAGCATACTGCTCGAAACCGGGCTTTTGGCACAATTCCCAACAAGATGACTTTCTGGGCTACGAGGATCATGAACAGGTTTTTTGGGGGTTTTTTTTTTTAATCACTGAGGCATCAATCTACCTTGGCCATAGGACAGAAAGTCTCACCTGGATGGGGGAAAAACCACTGAGCAATCTTGTTCTTGATAAGGACGTGGTATTTCCGTTTTCTGATGACCACTGGGTGCTTTTAAAGCCAACAGGAAAAGGGGTCAGGGCCTGGCTTTGTGGAGGCCACCCTCTCTCAAGCCTCTACGCCTCTCAGACAATTCCTTTACGGAGTCTCCCAGACACCCCCCTCCCCCCAACGTTTTGTCCGGTCAATGACTGGCAAGAGACCCTCCCTGCAGTATCCCTCACCTGCCAGGACAGGTGAGTCAGAGGGATCACGTGACCTGGGAAACAAGAGCATCTCAGGCATTCCTGGGAACATGACTGGATTCTGTCATATACACTTCATGGGTGTCCCCAGAGACAGAGAGCCACGTCGGTGCCCCTGACCCTAAACCACCACCAACAAAACCACCGGACACCAGGGGCAAGCCAGGTGGCCTCTCTCCCGCCCCGCCCAGCCCACAGTAAGTGCAGCTCAGTCCACAGTGTCCACGCATGCAACACGGCACAGTCACAAAACACGGTTACGTGTCTATGAAATACATCTTGGCAGTTGAGGAGACCTTGCAGAACAATCGTTGTCAGAGGGCCCCGGCTTTCCATCCGGGTCTCCTACATTGTCCGCAGCCAGGTGTCCCCGGGAAAGGTGGGCACGTGGTGAGAAGAAACCATCACAGGCAACACTTACGGTGACGGACACAATGAGAACGGGACTAGACACTCGGCCTCCCTCCGAGCGGTACTAGGAATGCCTTCCGAATGACCGTCAGCAAAGGTGGAGACACGGGAGCCCAGACTGGATCTGGCTTCCACAGCTTCAAATCAGCAGGGCGCCCGGTGCCATCCGGAACATCTCCCCGGGGCGGGCAGCAAGGAGGCAACAGGAAGAAACGATGGCTGTACAGGGTGAGGCAGGGCTGGGCGGTCCGAGCCTATGTGGAGTGTGTCATTACACACGGAGTCTGAGTCAGCACAAGTTTTGTCACTCGGTGTTACAATTCTCTCAGCCCCCGCGGCCAGCACGCTACACGTTTGCACAGACAGAAAACAGAACAGAACAGAGGCCAAATGTGTACGGTTCAGTCTGCTCTCCCCCTCTCTGGGCAGGGAAGAGAACACGTCTCTCGTGAAGCCTAACATTCGGCGGAAGAGTCTCGGGGAGGACTTGGTCGGCAGAAGGCCTCTGGACCAAAGGCGGTCTTCTGATTCAGGTGCTGGCCGTGTCAAAGGGCTTCCACAACAAAAAGATCGCTGACAGGAAGCGATAGGAAAAAAGAAGAAGAAAAAAAGGGGAGGGGGGCAGAGGGGAAAAAAGCTCACTTTCCAAACACAGGAGACATTTTTAACCGTCACGAAATCAAAGCTGCAAATCGGTCGAAATCAGTTAAAAAAGTAAACATGAGCTGTAATACTGTACCTGTCCAGTGAGTGATTGATTCCATTCATGGTCAGTAGAAAGTATGTAAAATATTTATTAAGGGCTTTGCCTACAGAGGCAGGACATAAATAGACGAAGTCCTCCTGAAATGTGATGAGTGTATGTGCCAACCAGCCCAGGGGCTGAGGTGGTGACAGGGGTCAAGCCTGCCTGAGCAGGGACGGGTGGCGCCTGAACCCGGGGCAGGCATGTTTGCAGAAGGCGCCGCCTCAGAGCCTTGCGGGGCTTCCTGCTCGCCCGCCACTGTCTCTGCAAAAGTCTGTCGGGCAAATGCAAAAGTGCAAGCACAACTTGCTTGACGGACCACCCCCCCAAGGCCGGGGGCACTTAATCCACCCCTTCGAATCCTTGCGCGTTTTCCACGGCCATGAGAAGCTTCTCTCGTAAATCTTCGAAGGTTTCGTATGGAGGTAAGTCAAGGCGATTAAAGCTGCGACAGGGAGATAAAAAGTGGGGTTGAAAAGCAGCTGGGACGGTCCCCCGCCATCCCTCAAGATCCTCGGACATCTTCCCCTGTGGCAAAAGGGCCTGCTGGCTGGGTGGGCCCGAGGGTTCTTCCCAAGTCTTTGTCCATGCCACAATTCTAAGTACCAAAAGACAACTCCCACTAATGGGCTGGCCATACCCAGTGAGCTCCGGGTCCCTGGGGGAAAGAGGTCATGGGGGAGCTTTTAAAGCCTCAGAGCTGAACCTAGAGTGGAGGGCTCCGTTATAGGGGGCTGTCAAGCCCTCTTGGGGGAGTCCCACAGCACTGCCAGGGCTGAGCATGGAGGCTGAGTCTGAGAGTAAGACAGTCTAGCCATAGCTGAAGCACATGGGTGCAGGAGGAAGCACCCGCCCACCCCTGGCTCCCTGAAGAACCAAGTACAAAAGCCCGTGTGCACTGGAGTGGGGGCCAGGGAGAACAGGGCTCAGGCTGCTGCTCAAACTACATCGATAGGGGCCTTGTAAGGCTCTGCCAAGCAGCCCACTGAGGGCTGCCCATGACAGCCATGCCCCACCCCCTTGCCACCCTGGAGGCAGGAGAGACTTTTCAAAGGCAAGGGCTCTACAGGTTGTTTTAGCCTTCGCTCCAACCGACGTAGCACACTGTCTGGGAGCTGCGGCACCCTATGGTTTTAAAGCCATAGGGAAAGGTCAGCTTTCCAGACAGACAGGGCAGATGGGGGTCTGTACTGCTGTACTGTCCTTGGGGTCACAGAAGCAACTTACAGGCTGTGGGGCTTTTTAAGGGAGGATATAATCCTTTCCATGCCAAACTCACGGGGTCCATTAAAATCCTCCTTTGAGGTTTCTGAATGTTGTCCAGGAGCCCTGGTAGTGGTGCCAGGTAAATGCAGGACTACTAACCTTACAGACGGTGGTTCAAATCCACCAGCCACTCCTGGGGAGAAAGATGAGGCTTCCTGTCTTCGTAAAGAGTTATAGCCTCGGAGACCCCAGAGAGCCTCACTATGAGTAGGAACTGGCACAATGGCCGTGGGTTTGGGTTTTGGCTTTAGTGCTGCCCGGGCTTGGATCCCCCAGCTGAGAATCCCCATGTGCTTCCCAGGGATATGGTGAATCGTACACACACCTGGATGAACCAGTTCCCCGGCAGTGCAATGGTTGACCCCCTGGCTGATGGAAAGACCTGACCACCTGCTTCCATACAAATGATGGCCATGCAAACCCAACGGGGCAGCCATGCTCTGGCCCGTGGGCCCTCTGAGAGTGAGAACGGACTCGATAGCACCACTGATGGCAGGAAGTGGGGCCCTCTGCAGCCCCCTGCCCCACCCCACACAAGTCTGCTGCCTGCCACTCACCAGGTGTGAGCTCGGGGCAGCTTTTCAGGGCTGCCCCATTGCTCGATTGTAAACAGCTGAGGCCCATTGGAACCTAGAGGGAAAGGGGAAAAAAACCAATTAACCTGACTGCTTAGGGGGGGGGGCTTCCTTCAAGGACACAGATTGAGAGAGGAAAGAGGGCGTCCCGCTCCGCAGGGACAGCAGTCAGGTGGGGTGTGCCCCCAGCTCGTCCTGACCTACAACAGAATGCTGGGTGATGGAGGTCACCAGAGGGTGGCACCTGCTTACCGCGCACCGCATTTGGGACTGCAGGCAGCCTTTGGCCATTGGGCCGCAGGTGAAATTTAAAGCAACTTTTGGGGTGAAAAGAACATGAAGTACGCCCTTTGGTTTACAAAACAGAAAGAACGATGTGAAATAAACATACGGAAAAAAAAAAGAAAACCCTCCACTGGGGCCAGTAGAATCCTGCCTCTTGGAGGAGAGGTGCCTTTTAAACTTAAACCTGCTCCCACTCACCTGGATGGTTCTCTAAAACCTAGTTTTTGAAAAAGATGCACCAAAAAGCAAAATAGAAATGAAACAGACGCCCAACCTTGTGCCCCCCCCCCGCCACACCCTCCATGAGTGTGGGTGGACAAGTCCTATACAGAGAGGATGTGGTAGTAGGGCAATTTCATGTCACTTGGTAAATAAGAGTGAAGGGGTGGAGTCTAGCCTGTCAATCAGGTCACATCCGGATGCCTCCTTATGGGCGTGGCTTCCTGATGCTTCTCTTCCTCCCTGGAGGCGGGACACACGCTCTCTCTCTCTCTCTCTCTCTCTCTCTCTCTCTCTGCGTTACATTCCAGTTGACAAGCCACATGGAGGCACACTGATGGAAGCCAGAGCCCTGGACATGCGTCCACCGCCACTGGATCCAAGACTTTCCACCCACCGGCCTTTGCTCTTCCTGCATTCGGCATCATTGCATGTGCGGCCTGAGTCTGAAGAGGAATCTATGGACTAATATCTGGCATATGGGACATCTGACTGATGGACTTGATTCTGGACTGGGTTGTTTTCTCAATATACAATTGCTCTTTGATATCAAGGTCTTTCTTATACAGATATGGGTGTCACTGGATTTGTTTCTCTAGTCCACCCGGGCTAACACACCTGGCTGGGGAACCACACGTCATCCCCAGCTTACACTGGGAGTTCTAGGTCAGCAAGTTGGCTCAGCATTGACCTAAATTGATTTTGGCTTTTTCCTTTTCACTATTATTGGCCTTTTATCACCAGTAACTTTATAAATCCAATCTTTGTCCGTGGGCCGAGTGCACATCTGAGAAGGATCCTCTCAGCAAGTTAGGCACTGCACCCTCCCCTGGAGTGCACGCTCCTACCCCGGGTGCAGAAAGATAAAGCCCAGATGGTCCTACGTGTGGGTATGTCGTATGTTGGAGACTATGTGTGCTGGGACACTGTAGTAATGAGACAGACGCCGATGCCATGTCTGAGGGCCCAGGAGGTAGGGTAGCACCCATCCTGCTCACCGTAAAGTTCGGCAAACCCATTCATGGGCACGCGGGATGTCCCTGTGACAAACTGCAGTAACCGGATGCGCTTCTCAGCGTCCATCAGCAGCACCGCCTGCAGAGGGAGGGCCAGGAGGTGAGTGTGGGTAGACACGTGGGAAGGAGACGCCAGAGCTAGATGAAGGCAGATTCTGAACATGACCATCCCACCCGTCCCCTCTAACCCCAGAGGATCCCAGCGTCTGCCTCCCCTCCTGCCAAGCCGTCCAAATGAAGGACATACAAAGCCACCTCTTCGATGGCATGTTTGTTGTGTTCCCGAATGTTGGGTGGGCCAGCTCCCCAAAGCCAAAGACAAACAGCTTCACAGAGGCACCCAGGCAGGGGAAGCTCAGGCTATGGGAACATGAGATGGGGTTTCCGTGTTGACAAAGTCTCTAAGGTAACGCTTGATACAAAGAAAAGAAAAGAGGCCTCTGAAATCATCAGTCTCTTCCAGGTCTGATGTTCCCAGGAATGGAGGTGGCTGTACTGATAATGCTAGCGGAGTGGTATCAAAACAAAAAGAAAGAAGTAGCCAAATCAAAGGGCCGATGAAGAACCTGCTCTTTTACTCTTGCTCCATTTCAGAAATCCACACAAGTGGTTTCCTTTTTGAACGTAATCAGCCAGCCATGTTTAAAAACCACCACCTGGACTTTCAGAGTCGGCTGGAGTCTCCATGCCAATGCCACCTCCCTCCTCGGTTGGGGAGAATGGAAATGGTACCGAGACAGGAAAAAATCAAACTGAGTCTTTGAAGAAAGACACAAAGCTCAAAATGTTGGTTGGAATGAACAAGAAAAGTTGGGGGGAACCCTCAAAACCAAACCAAACCAAACGACAGCATCTTGGGAAAAGTAGGCCCCAAATCTGGGCATGCCTGGAGCAAGCCTGCTGTCTTTCTTAGTGAAGTGGACCAGGTCCGAAGCTCGCGTTCATGGAAACCACCCATCTCCAGGCGGTGCATGCGTGAGCCAGGGAGCAAAGCCAGTGTGCGGTGCTAAGGAGCAGCCGCGTTCAAGGGGCGGCTGTGTCCTAGTATGCACAAGCAGGGAGCACTTGTTGCCCCTTCTCTCCCCGAGTCCACATGCAGTCACAGCACCCCAACTTCCAGCGTAGGTCCCCAAGTGAGAGTATGAAGGGCACTCCAGGCCTTGGAGTGACCCAGTGGCGTGTGTCACACAGGGCCTGGGGGCTTACCTTCCAGAACCATTGGATGACGGGGTGGTTGGGGCAGTAGCCATTCTTGTAGATGGAATGCTGTCTCCAGTCGTTCACGTCCACGTCACCAAGCCCACACATCAGCAACTAGCGAGAACAATGAGCAGGTGTCAACGGGGCAGGAGGGGAAGTGTCCCGCACTGAGGACTGACTTCCTCAAAGCCAGCGTCTTGTCGCTGGGCAAAGCAATGCACAGAAACAGGCAGAGGCAGTGGTGTGCTCCCAATGTTACCTGCCACAAGACCAGAGACAGCGGAGGACACGGAAGGTGGCCGCAGCGCTGCATGTTGGAAATGAGAGCTGCCTGTCAACCCTCTCCCCCACGCCTCTCGCTTCCACTTTTGTGCACAGATTCTTACGTGCCACTAACAAACGCACTTTCCCTGGAGGTGTGTCCCTTCTATGTGGTCCTCTGTCTCCATGTTTGAGAGTCCATGCAGGTGACAGCAAGGGCACATCTTCCAGAGCTCAACAGTCCGGGGTGGGGTGAGAAATTACCCCCACCCATTCAGGCGTCTTTGCACTGAGATGTGTTCTCCAACCCATCATGCCGGTCTGAGTTTCCAATGATGCAGCCTTCTGACAGAGGAGGCTTCCCAATGGGGTGGGGTGGGGGTGGGGACAGGCTCTCCTTGCCAGGTACCAGGGCAAAATGGGGGAGATGTGAACCAGAGTCTAGACCCTGGGTTCCTGGTCCTGCTTCAGCCGGGGTGTGTGGGCGAGGCCACCTACTTCTCGAAGGCCCACCCTGTGGGGTCCCTGGGCTACCATCTACTGGCAAGCTTCTGTTTTAAGACAGTAGTGCTTCGGGGAGGGGGCTTGGACAGATGGCTTAGGGAGTCTCACCAACGATCCATCCTCTCTCCTCCATCTGTTTCTCTCAACACAAAGGCAGTGAGGAACAGCCGAGGGTCTCTCTCAGGTGGCTCACTCTCACCTCAGTCAATACAGGGGCTGGGACGGAGAATTACTGAACTACTTTTTGCTGCTGGTTGGTGTTTTTCTTACTTAGCAGCAAGAAGACAGCTTCATCTGGTCCCTAGGAGAAGCTTACCCCACCTTGGGTGCCCAGGGATGGAGAGGCCGCTCAGAAGCCCTGGCTAAGCAAGGGTGGATGTCCACTGGCTGCTGAAACCTCAGTCTTACCTGACACAGCTTACTGACCTTGTGGGCGTAAGACCACAAGCCAGGTCAGCAGAACCATCCTCTCATGGGCAGAACATTTCAATGGCTGACTGTGTCTGTGATTCCTTCCTCTCCAACCAGCCCCCACACACCAGTCCCACGGCCAAGAGACATGCGGCCGAGCCCATCACAACTTACTCCCCGGGACAGCACGCACCAGAGAAGTGAGATACTTTTATCTACTAGACATGAAGCGACATTGTATTCAGAAATACAAACCTCCAATTCGTTCTCATCAAAAATCTTAATCAAATCAATGGGAAGCAGTTCTGTGAAGCCCTGAAATCAAGTTTAAAAACATATTATTAAAATCACCCTACACGCGGCGCCC